TATATATATATATATATATATATGTATATATGTATATATACACGTACCTTCAATTGTATTATTGACAAAATCAATAATAATTGGTTCTATTTGTTCTTTATGATTATATATCATTATGTAACCACCACTAAAATAATAATTATAAATTACAATAAATATTTTGTACATATAAAGATATACATATAACTTACCCACCGAGACCAGTTTTATGTGGAGCTACTACTGTCATACAAATAGTCGCTGCAATAGCTGCATCTATTGCATTACCATTTTTTCGTAATATCTTAGTTCCAATTTGTGAACAATTTGTATAATCTGTTGCAACTGCACCATGAATACCAACTTTATTCTAATATGAAACAATTCAATTTTGTGATATTTATTAATTTCCTATTTAATATCTTTATTTTTAAATTAGTTTGAATACCTGTGGACCTCCTTCAGCATATAATATTTGTAAAATTAATGTTGTTGTAATAGAAATGGTTAAAATAGTAAAACAACTTATAATGAATTTTAAACCATCTCCACAATATATACTTAAACTATATTTATAATTTCTATTTTTTGTTAAAGGACATTCTTCTGTAGAACCTTATAAAATAATAATAATAATAATAATAATAAAAATAAAAAATTTTTTATTTTTATAATAATAATAAATAAACAAATAAAAAAATTTGATATATGATAAAATGAATTATAATATATAATATACAATATATTAGTATATTAAATGATAAAATATTTTTTTTGTAATATATTTCTGTATATTTTAAGATATAATATATTTTTAAGAAAATATTTAATTTTAATCATCACTACAAAGCAGATAGGTTAAAAAAGAGATTTACTAAGAACAACTGCCATTTAGTTAAGAAAATATTTAAAATATCTTTAAAATATTAAGCTATGTAAATATAAATGCAATAATCAAAATAATAACCATATCTTGTATTTTAAACATATTTCAAAAAATATTTATAACAATTAGAAATTTTAATTACTTGTAAGTAAATATTAAATATTATAAGGTTATATTTAAACAAAATTTTGATTTTGATTATATATAATCAAAATAGAAAACAAGTATCAAAAAATACTTACGAGAATTATTGTAACGCATTGTAAATATATGAATTAATCAAAATAAAAAGAATTAAGGATTATAAAATTATTTAATAGTATGCAGCTTGTATTATATTAAACAGTATGTATATATATACATACATATATATTTCTCTGTAACTGTAAATTTAATTTATTTTTTATTTTAAGATTAATAACATATTATTAAATATTATAAAATTTCAAAACAGTTATTTATTTTACAGTTATTTATATGAATTTTATATTATTATTCTATTTTTAAAATTATATATATTGCTTTAAAAATTGTGTTTAATATCTATTTTATAATAAAAAATCAAATAGAATATATATAAAAGATTTTTTATATACAATTATTTTACTATAATGCTAAAATAATATATCTGAAAGATTAAATATAAATTATATTTTATATTTTTACTTTGAAATAAGATTTAGAAAATAAATCAAAATGTCAATTGATATAATAGAAATGTTAAAAGAACCAAAAATGACAAAAGTATGTGCACCAATGGTTAGATATAGTAAGTAAGTATGCTAATAAAATTATACTTATAATAATTTTTAAAGATATAACATTAAATTAAAATATTTTTTAATAGATTACAGTTCAGAACTTTAGTAAGACAATATGATTGTGATATATGTTTTACACCTATGATCTTAGCTGACTCATTTATACAATCTGAAAAAGCCAGAAATAATGAATTTTCAACTAATAATGCAGATAAACCATTAATTGTTCAATTTGCTGCTAAAAATGTATATGATTTTCTTAATGCTGCAGAATTAGTTGCTCCGTGAGTTTTTTAACATATTAAATCCATTTTTTAATAGTTAAGATATAAATTTTTATATTTGTAATAAATTATTATTTTTTACAGATATTGTAGTGGAGTTGATCTTAATTGTGGTTGTCCTCAACGTTGGGCATTAAAAGAAGGATATGGAGCTGATTTGCTTAAGAAACCAGATTTTGTAAAAGACTTAATATATCAAGTGAGAAATCGTATTCCACATCCTTTCACTGTATCTGTGAAAATTAGATTATTGAAGGACATTCATAAAACTATCAATTTCTGTAGAATTCTTGAGAAAGCTGGTGCTTCATTTCTTACTATCCATGCTAGGACTCCCGAAATGAGATGTGAACCAATCAATCTAGATAATTTAAAACTAATAAGAGATAGTGTAAAATTACCTCTCATTGCTAATGGAGATGTAAAAAATTTAGAAAATGCAGAAAATTTATATAGAGAAAGTAATTGTGATGCAATAATGTCTGCAAGAGGAATTCTAACAAATCCAGCTCTTTTTTCTGGATATTCAGTAACACCTCTTAATTGTGTGCAGGATTGGCTTGATATTACATCAACTATACCAACACCATTTACATGTTTTCATCATCATCTTGTATTTATGTTAGAAAAAATACTTCCTAAAAAAAGTCGAATGTTTTTTAACAATTTACACAATAAAACATCTGTATTAGAATTCTTGAAAGATACTTATGGTTTAAAACCTAATATTAATCCTAAATTATTTGAACTTACAAAATGCACTTTTAATATTGCAAATATGAAATATAATAAATATATTACAAATGATGATGATGATTTAAATATAAACTTTTTAGGAAATATATTTACAGAAATATAATTTTATTCATTTATTCTTTAAAATGAAAAATAAATATCTTTATATTGCTATAGTATTGTCATGAATATTTTATGTATATTTTTTATATATAAATAAATTAATAATGTGATTATGAAATAAA